AATACCAAAAATCCAATTCTTCATAATTGTAAGTCATCTGCATGATAAAAGTACTGGCTATTCAGATTTCGTTCAAAAGCAGGACTAATTACGGCTGTGGGAACTTATAACTGAAAGCAGAAAATAAATGAACTACAATTCTCCGAGGTAAATCTGTACTTCACCGGATGGTTTGTTCACTGGTTTAAATCAGCGACACATGATCGCTCAGGCCTTTACACCATTAATGAGTGCATGATTTAAAAATATAATATGCCATGCTGAAGTAGTGCCGGTTAAAAATAACATCGTTAATCATCAGGTATTTCTAATTCGCTTTGATATAGCCGCTATATGTATCTTTTGCTATGTTCTGTTTCATCAAACATATTGTGGTGTATCAAAAATTACGTTTATAAGTAATAATTCAAACGAATAACTGTATTTATGATGCGCGAATCGGTATATTGGCATTTCTCACCATGATTTGGCTCATTTTGGCTCTCTTTTTGAACTATTACAGCGATTCTGATTTAATTTTAGTTTTTCTCATCATCATTAAGTTCTCAGATAGACCAAAAGTGCAAATTTAATAAAGACTCCTGATATTTTACAATACATGGTGAAAAATATTAAAAATACATAAATTTTGATTTTTATAAGCATTTAAAGATCAATTTGGACAGAATTTATCAAATCTCGAGTATCTATATTCTCATTCCTCAACCAAACTCTACAGATTTATATTTTCTGATGAATAATTACGCTGAATCGTTTGATGCTAAAACTGGCTTGGAACAAAATTTAAGAAAATCGCAGTAATCATAAATTGTGGTATATTTTCTCGTTTGAGCCGTTTTTCTTTTGAACGTAAAGGCTATTTCTATTTTTAATTTATGCATTTTTGATAGAACCACTATGTACTGAATATTTACATATATTATTTGTCATAGCGCAGCAAATTATTCTTTTAAATTTAAGTAGCTGAAAATGAAACAACCCTTTGACGATCCCAATATGCTGAATTTCACCTGATCAAGTTTTTACGGTGGTAAATTTTCCAGTATAAAATATGACTAAGATACCATTCTGATCATTTAAAAATCAAGTCAAATAAGTATATAAAAATTAGTTTCGTGAATATTTGAAAACGTCATGCCTTACATTATAGCTGCAAATACCTTCTTCTGGTACGCGGATATATATGCAGTGAAAACTGTATTCTCTTATTTCCAATTACCATGTTTTCTGATAGATAATTACGCGATCGTTGAGTACACCAGCGCACTTGGTTTCAAAAAAAATTCCAGAAAATCACGTATTAATCATAAATTATTCACATTTATAACACATTTATATATACATTATTTACATTACATTATATACATTATATACATTATATATACATTATTTACATTATATATACATTATTTACATTATATTATATACATTATATACATTATATATACATTATTTACATTATATTATATACATTATTTACAGGAAGGAAGGAAGGAAGAAATTGTTGAATGAGATAAAAGACCTAACTCTTTAGGAATTTATTTAATCCTTTTTCATAGAAGCTTACTAATTGTTTAAAATTTCTATTTTTGGTTTTGTCTTTTATCTCATTCAACAATTTAATTTTCCCATCCACACATTGTGGCTGATAAGGTCGAGCAAAACTTAGGGAAACCACATAACTTCTTTTCACCTTAAGTGCAGGGTGAAAATAAGTTATATGGTCCTCGTCGATTTGCTCGACAATAGCAGCCAGCCATGGACGACCCCTGGTCAAAACATTCACAGCATCCCCTGGCTTTAGGCCATGGGATGCTGCGTCAGTTTCGACCGAAGTCGCCATGTCGGTGGATGGGCCAGGAGCGGGAGAAGGGATATGAGAGGAGTGTGGGGAAGAAGCGTAAGTTGGTATGGAGAGGGTGGAAGAAGAGTGTGTGGAAAGAACAGGAGGATATAAGGAGTGAGAGGATGAGGAATACATAGGAAGATCAATGGAATGGAAAACAGGATGGAACAAAGGACTTTCAGGAGAGGAAGGAGGGGGGAGGGGCCAGTGACCTCTCCTCCCTGGGAGGACCCAGGGACAGGAGAGGTCACTGGCGGAAGGATGGCTAATACTTGTTGACTGCTGACTTCCTGAAAAAATAAAAATATTAAATTATAGCTTAATTTGAAATTTTCAATACAATAATTAACTAAAATTATAAAATTCTTACAGTTTCAAGATCAGCCAAAACTATTTTTTTCCGTCTCTTCTTTGCTGGCTATAAAACATTATTTAAAAAACATTTGATTAGATTATGTAGGTAGTTTCTATGTTTTAAGCAAGGCAAACTAAAATACTTACTTGATTGTATTTGGGGAGGTTAAAATTCGGATATCGGGGGTTCCCATAGTCACTGAGGACCCCCCCTGATATCCGAAATTGTCTTTGGACTGGGGGTGAACCTTTCACGACTCCCCGGTACAACCCAACTTGATTGAATGTTGTAAAGGGGGTAGTCTTGAAGTTCACCCGCCAGATTTTTATTGCTGTAACGGCCATATAATATCTAGAAACAAACATGATTAATTAATACAATATTAACCACTATGAGGCCATCAATTATTTAAAAATTATCTACGTACTTTGGCCAATGTTTGTGGCCAACGCAGCCACTCGGTGACCGTCAATCTGGCCTTGGGGGTTGAGAATTCAACCCCACATAAGGCTAGATATATGACGGCCGCCATTTCTGCATACTGTCCATTTAATTCTTTCAGGAATTTGATGAAATCTTTCTCATCTAATGTAAGTGGGTCCGGGAGATTGCAGCGTCTTGCTGCATAATCCCGGACCACCAGAGCCACACATTTTCGAAAATGCATACTAAAAAATACATAATCAAATTTTATTTTTATAGTCATTTTAAGTTCAAATTTGGACGAAATTACTTAATAAAAAACCTAGAATAATTATTCGTTTTTGAATTACAAGAAAATAAGGAAATCGCTACAAGAGAAATCGAGTGAATATCCAATGTTGTAAAAATTTGAATTTCAAACGCTCATAAAAATTTAGTTTGACTTTCCGGTAGAGATTTTTTTATTGATAAAGGTAGACAAACTTATGAGTAATCTTGTATTACATGTTCAAATCTTAGATTTAAAAAAAAAATTTTTACGAATTCTTAACTCAAAATAATTTGCTAATTTTCGTGATTTTTCCATATTTTTTGATGTATCTACGGTCATTTGTTTACTTTAAATAATAATTTAAAATATACAATTTGAAATGACCCAAAAGAGATTAACTCATATGATGATTTTACACATTCATAAGTCTATGACAGCAAAAATTGATTTGAATTTGATTGCCAAAGAATTTGTTTCCAGAACTTCACAAAGGAAATCAACATTTGGAAATTTTTATTAATCTTACAGGTAATTCTTTTTAAAAAATAACGTTTGTGAAGTTTATTTTATTTTATTTGTATTTATATACATTTATTTATTATTTGTATTTTATATTTATTTATATATTGACATATTGTTACTTTAGAATATAACTTAAGGACTAAGGTATAAATTAAATACATTTTTTATATTTCTGTATAATATATTGTTACTTTTGTAATACAACTTTAAGTACCTATATAGTAAATATATTTCTTTTAAAACTTATTTATTATATTAATTTAGATACTGTTATTTTAATTTTAGGTATAAAGTAAATATGTTTCATGTTTTTTTTCAATATATAAATGTATAAATTTATACATATAATATATTGGTAAACTTTTGCTATGTTAAACTAGCTGGTTAACTTTTAAATAAAAAAAATATATATACATATACTACCTATATCAACGTTAAAAGAATAAAATATTAAGAAAGGGTTTCTTTTATCAATTACAAATAAATATATTATAATAGTTGTTAGGTTTTTATTAGGTTTTGCCCCCCCCCCTCATGAAAAATAGTTCCTGCACCACTGAGAGTACCTACATTAACCTACGATAGACTATAGGCATGTACACACCCGCTGACAGTTGCGGACGGGTAGTTTGTCCTTTTTAATTAGTAAATCAATGTTATTAGTTATTACTTATCTCGATTACAAATAAAATTATTTTATTTTATTCGCATACCCAACATTACACAATATTTCCTATAAAATATTATTTTGTTAACCTAACCTAATCTTACAATCATGGTATCAAATGTATGTGGGTTTATTAGTAGTTGGGATTATATTTTCGTGGTATTATTTTTAGATGGTATTACACAGAAATGGGATTTTCTGCCTATGTACCTACCTACCACCCACGTGGAATATTTATTTATTTATTAACTTCTTGACGAATTGTTATGTAAAATAACCTCACATTTATTGGCTACGTGGTCACGCGCTCGTCCATTCAAAATTTATGAAAATTCAAAGTTGCAATGATTATATAGAATTATAAGTGTGAGCCACCCTATAACGACTTATAGGTTCACCTAAGGTGGTTTTACACAACATGTCGTCAAGAATATACCCATAATTCCGGGGCTATACAAGTCATACTCACGTGATACGAAGAAGGTTCACGGTTACACGGCATAGACAAGACGACTGACGCACTGATGATGTTCAGGTTCGGAAGTCGGAACGGAAAAGAGACGTTCCAGCTCGGTGATAAACCCACACAGCATTATATCCCACCTACTAACATAATCCCACGCCCGTCAGTGCTGCCAAACTTGGTAAACAAAATCATTAAGCAATCATTCAGGATTTCCAAACACGGTATAACACATCTTCTCTTATCTTTTGTTTATCAATACTCCAGTGGCGGGCTTTTAAAATGATAACAACTTTAAATTTACGAATTCTCGAGTGATATCACACTGAATCTTTATATAATATACAAAACTTAGATTAACTTCATATACTTTTAATTTAACGAGATTTCCAAATATTATGTCAATGTGACAAGTTGAGACAACACTGACAACTGACAAGTAGTGTAATAAACATGTCTCGATGCCTACTGCAAGTGCTGTGGACACTTAACCTGATCGTCTACTACGCGTATTGCCTGAGAATCACGGAGCTCAGAATCGATGAATATACTCTCGTGGGACATAGCACCAGACTTCAGTGCAAATATGACCTACAGGGTGAAAAACTGTACACGGTCAAATGGTACAAAAACGGCAACGAATTTTATAGATTCCTGCCCGGGGAATCGCCGGAATTACAAGTTTTCGACGTTACGGGAGTGCACGTCGACGAGAAGCAATCCACGGCGGAAAGCGTAGTTCTAAGGCCCCTGGAACTGGCAAGTAGCGGCAAATATCGGTGCGAAGTGTCCGCCGAATCGCCGTCGTTTCAAACGGTCACCAACCATAGCTCTATGCTTACTGTCGCCCCGCCCGACGAAGGACCTCGCATATCCGGCGGCCAGGATTGGTACGTGAACTGCACATCCGGGAGATCGAAACCCGCCGTACAGCTGGCCTGGTGTATCATCCTGTTATATTATGTGCCAAATAGAAGCAACTAAAATTGTATCTGGAGTTAAAATTTTAATTTGAAATAAATAAATAATAAATTAATTAATAAATTTTAATTTTTCATATATCTTAATTTTTTTTAAAATCACAATTGATCCTTCCAAAGCGAAAGTCGAGTTCCAAAGTCGAACGAGGAAAAGCTTGTAAAAAGCTTCTACTTAACGGCTATTATATTTTATAGTTTATAATTATTTAACTATACAAAAATAATGTTAATAATTATTAGTACCAAGAAAATTTTTATCAATTATTATCATTATTGTTTATCGATGACGGTATGAGATATCCAAATACATTTATATAGCTTTAAATTAATATAATAACTCTGTTGAGAAAAGTTCATTGTTGTAGTGCAACTAACATGACTAATCAGAATTTTGATTATTGAATGAATCATGTTTTTAAACATGAAAATAAAAAATTATATTAACGTTTTAGGTTTTTTTTTTTTTTTTTATTAAGTTCATCATGCCGAAACGAAGTGCAGAAAAGAAAACCCAAATCTACACTTTCAATAGTGTGTTGTTTGTAAAAAAGTAAGAGATCGAGGTTGGGTTTGAACCTGGGACGCTTGGATAGTTTAATAATTCATGATAAGATCTCACCACGAACAGCTCATTATATAAGATGTATAATTTAGATTCTAGCTAAAATTACGATATTTTGGATAGCCATAATATATTTTTGTTAAAAATCATTTAAAATAAAATAACCATAGTACTGTGACAAAAACAAAAGTTTTTAGAGCGTTATGTTCAAAAAATGATTGGAAAATTATGTGATATTTGTAAAATCAACGGTTTTTTTTTGTTCAAAATGTTATTACTACCAAAATATTATATATTATATATACCTACCACAATAATAAAATAATGGTTGAAATGAGACCATTGTAACCATTAAGTTTTTAACTTTTTTACCTTTTACTATGAGGATATTATTACAATCACAAAAAAAGATTGAATTAATAATTGTTATAATGTGTATTTATTTTTTTTTATAATAAATAGAATCCAATGTTGTATTTATGGTTTTATTGTAGGTTTATAGCGGAGTCTAAGTCTTCCCGACTGATGTTGAGTGACGCTTTACAGAATATGTCCCATCGCTTCTTCTCCAACACATTGAAAACTGTAAAACTAAATTAGTTAAATAATTTATTTCCTACCAACAATGGACGAACACTAACCAAGTGTCTATTCACCGAGAATTAAGGTTTGATAATTCGTTCTATCAGGAAAAAATAACCTCATAGACTTGAGAAAAATATTCAGGTTTTTAGAGCGTTATGTTCAAAAATTAGATAGTAAAATTATTTTATATTTGTAAATTCGGTTTTAGGATTGATGGAAGTTTTCCAACAGTAAAATATGACTAAGGATACCATTCTGATCATTTTGAAACTTACACAGCTCATAGCAAGTATCCCGGGCTACCATACCTGCGATTTTGGTGAACCTACTACAAATATCATGGAGACGGCGTTCTCATTGCCCCCCCGCCCCCGCCACCTTAATCCGGGATTGTATTTGCACTTGAAATTTTCAATTTTTTTCAATTTTTTAAAAAATTATATAAAATAGACTTAAAACTAAAAAAACAAACAACATTATAATATTGAATAATACTTTATTTTATATACCTAATTACTTATGAACAATATTTCCGTTTTCTTGAGTCTATGTTTTGCATTCTTAATAAGTTGAAAATAACTACTTACTTTAACATTTTTTTTTTTTGCCTTTCAGCCTTACTGATGTATGAGTTCTGGTGTTTTCTAGAATTAAAATAAATATATATATATATAATATTAATATATATAAATGAGTTTGTAAGACTGAGGTAACAAATTATTATGGTATGGTTACATACCTACAATAGTGGCCGTCACGTCATGAATAACCTTTATGAAATGTATTGTTACGAATAATAAAGGTCTATTCATGACGATGACGACCTCTGTTTCTAAAATTCCATCCTCCAAACTCATATTTTCAAAAATTTTTAAAACTTCAGTATTATCCATTTTCTGATTTTGAATATAATTTTAAGAAATTAATACTTTGGATGTTAAATGATGAATGAACAAATTATGCTGTTTCTTTCAAACCCACCCGAAAATTGTATTAACGAACCTAATTAAGATAAGGACACCGTCTATTGTCTAGACTCATTAAATGACATTCATTTACTATTCTATGAACTCCAGTTATTAAATCAAAATGCATATTTCCAATAAATGTTATTTTTAAACATATGTAATTTTGCTCAAAATATAATCAAATGTAATAATATTACGTATCGTGGCACTTGAACTAATTATTATTAAACATTTTAAATCGATTTTGTGGGAAAAGATATTTAATTTCATAGTTTATATATTATATTAATTATTTAAACATTTGAACATTTATTTTATTTTTAATTGTACGGGTATTTCTTTACATCAATTCTACACAACCTAGTCTATCAGAAAATACAACTCATAAAGTTTAGGTGAAAATAAGAAAATTAGGCTTCTATTTTTAATCTGTGGGTTATAAAAATTGCAAAAAATCATATTGCCCTCGTAACCAATCGACACGTCACGAGTAATGATCATCGGTTACAACTTTTCGACTGACGCAGCGACGGTGCACACGCCACCACGCCAGAGCTGCGTCCCTCACCGGTAAGTTAATTAATGCTGGTATTTAAGAAGCCGAATGGAAACGAAATTCGACCGTAAAAACATGTTTTCGTATTTCCCATTTCCTCAGCTCTCGTTAGTCGTAGAAAATAATTCGTTCTATCAGGAAAAATTAACCTCATAGACTTGGGAAAAATATTTAAGTTTTTAGAGCGTTATGTTCAAAAAGTAGATGGTAAAATTACCGTTTATTAGTACAATCAACGTTTTCTATAAGTTCAAAAAATGATTACTTCCAAAATATTTTAAGTACAAAAACACATTGCACATAATAATTTTTATAATAATTCGTTCTATCAGGAAAAAATAACCTCATAGACTTGGAAAAAATATTTAAGTTTTTAGAGCGTTATGTTCAAATAATGTAGCGAAAATTACGGTTTATATGTAAAATCTACCGGTTTTTTATGTTCGAAAAATTCACCTTATTAATTCGGTTTTAGGATTGATGGAAGTTATCCAACAGTAAAATATCAATGAGAATACCATTATGAACAATTAAAAAAAAAATCAGGTCGATAAGTGCAATATTAAAGATTTCATATTATTTCAAACTAATTTATTTAATAACTTATTTTCAGATATACAAAATGACAGTTCAAAATGACAGTGTCAAAACATATCATTTTTCGAACTTTATTATTTTTATTTTCGAAATTTATAAATATAAATTGTGATTAATGTATAAGACATATAGGACAACTTAATGCCACTCAAAAACTTTTCTACGATGTTACACAAAATAATAATAGCTTTAAGTGTATAAATTTAATTCTAAATGTTCATTGATCATTCCTAGTATTAAATAATAAATAATATTAACATAGTTCTTATCAATACTAAGAAACATGAACATTCACCTCTTAGATAAGGATGGCGGCCATTTTACTGGCGACAATAATAATACCCAAGTCGGCTATCTAGTATCTAGTATTTTTATATATCTGTGACTGCGACGCCAATACCCTCCGCGCGCCGCCCGGGTCATGAACGATCTCACAAACAAGTGCTCAACGTTCGGGAAATTACCCGCGCCGCCATATAATATTATATCGCCAAAGGCCGCCGCCGTCGCGCAGGTTCTTTTTATTTTTCCGCCGCTATTACACACGGTTCGAAAATATCAATATACAATATTGTCCCGTTTTTGTTTTTGTTTTTGTTCTTTTTTTTTTTTGGATTTTGATACATACAATCCGCGGTTTCTTATATCCATAATACGCATTCCCGCGTCGGTCGTGCAGGGTCCGCATACAGTGTCGTCTGCGATATTTGACGATTTTTTTTTTTTTTTGATATGCCGAAGTGGATTAGCCATATAGCTAACTTTATAAGGTGCCTACATGTCTGCAAGCAGCTTAAGAAACAATATAAAGGTAATTTTATAATAAATTAATACAATAATTTTTCATTTATTTCAATTTTTACAATAGAACAGTCAATTATTTTTAGTAATAATTAATAAGTTATGATTATAAATAAGTACCTAATAACTAATTTGAAATATTACCTTATTAATTGTTTGTTTTTTTTTTCAGTTAATTTTTCTATTAATGAATCATTTATTAAATTTGTTTCAGTACTGTCATATAACATAAAACCACCTACAGTACAAGAATTACAGACGTTAGCAGTACACCCATGTAGTCTTGTTTGTTTTATTTTCAGTTAAATTTTCTATTAAGGAATCATTTATTAAATTATTTTCAGTAGTATTGTCATATAACAAGAAACCTCCACAACAAGAATCACAGTTAGCAAATAATCACTGGAGTCAATTATCTAATGCTAAAATCCTATTACGTACTGAGCCAAATTTACTATACAGAAAAAGTGAATATTCTATATTATATTCATTCTTAGCTGGAAAAATTAATCGCCAATTAACAGGGTAAATTTTTAAATTTGTCAATATATTGTGTAATAAATACTTCTTAGTATAAAATTATTTACATAAAATGTTTACAGTGTTATACATACCACAGGTGAAAGTGGTAGTGGAAAAACCACTACCGTACAACATGTAATAGATTCACTTAAGACTGACATATTGTTTAAAAATAGATTTAAAGTAATTTTGAACTTATAATACATTTTAATGATTATTTTCTGTATGAGTAGTGACTAATTATAATTTAATATCTTATTTAGTTTGTGAAAGTAGCAGGATTAAGGCTTAATGATGCACACAAAGCTTTTTCAGTCATATGGAAGCATTTAACCACACAAACAGTATCATCTGACAAAGCTCAAACACTTCTTAATGACTATTTTTCAGGAGCAAAAGTTCGAGAAATATCCACAATTTTATTGATTGATGATGTAATTTAACTATTTAAGTACTGAATTAACATTTTTTTTTTTTAACTTTTGAACCTTTATTTGTCAGGTGGACTTTTTGAGTCGTAGTAAACCAGAAGTTCTAAGTAATATACTTAATTGGTCTAATCAATGTCGTTCAAAAGTAATTGTAATAACAACTTCTAATCATATAGATTGGGTTGAACGAGTAGTAACAGGACCCGTACCTATCTTAAATGTAGTTAATAGATGCGTGAAAAATTGGTTACTTTATTAATAGTTATTAAAAATTTGTCCTTTCAATTTTTCTATAGGAAACTAAAAAATTACTATTCAAGCCTTACACCTCCAACCAGTTAGAAAATATAATCTTGGATAGGTTGAATGGAAATTTTGCATTTGATCCAAATGCTATTCAACTTGCAGCAAAGTAATTATATTTTTAATAATTTGAATATTTGATTTGACAATGTGTTTTATTTTCATATTAGGAATGGAAAGGGTAATGCTAAAGTTGCTCTAGGCTTATGCTATATGGCTATTAAACTTGTTAAATCCTCATATCCAGATATTATACAAATAACCAGGCTTCATATTGCTGAGGTAACACATTTGGTATGTAATGTTATCAATATTATTTTTTTTATAAACATGATAAAAATGTATTAATATTTATATTTAATGTGCAATGTTATTTTAGATACAAATTAAACAATTTAAGAATTTAAAGAAATTTAAGAATGTCAGCCCAGAGAATATGACTTATGCTTTAGATAAGTATAATGATAAGGTTGATTTTTAATAATTATCATATATTTGTATTATTCTATTTATTCTAAATTAATAAATAATTTATTTATTCTTATTGTGACTTGGTATATTTATTTTAAATTTTTATTTTATTCTTTAATAATTTCTATTTTTAATATATCAAAATCAGTTTTTTTTTAAAATGTTTTAACTATCTGTCATTACTCTTTTATGTTACATTACTTTTTAAAAATTTGAATTGTATTAGAAGTAATTATATTATAGATCTTCCACTTTACAGTTAGGTATATATAATATTATTATGCAAAGAAAGATTGCTCTAGAAAACAAAAATGTTTAAACAAACTCTTAATGTAATATTCATTAATTTCCAGCCATAGTGAGCCATGGCATTAGGTAATAAAAGTACTAAACATCATTGGTGTGCCCGTGAAAAATTTGAATTACCTATATATTAAACACACATAGACCTAGTATAGATATTATAAAAAAAATAGAACAGAAACAAGTCACATTTTTTATATTTTAACTTATTTATTAATCATTATTGATTAGTTTACAATATTTACAGATTCACACGTCTATTTTCTAAAGTATTAAATTCATCAATGACAGAATCCTAGTCTATATCACTTGTTAGCTCTTGTTCTGTAATATAGGTCATATAACTGGCGACTCGTCTGAAATACCTTAGACTGGGCTCTATACTTTTGTTATCATTACCTATTATTAAAAATTAGGTACTTATATACTTGCTAGAAATAAACTATAGCAATAGCATAAGTATAAAAACATCATAACCTATGGTAGGTCAGCTTTATTCTATAACTAGGCATATGATAATTGAAGAGCATAAAGTAATGGTCAGTATTGAAGGTATGAAACCATCTTCATATTTAGATTTCTTATAAATTAATAAAAATATTTAATAATTTATATCATATCACTAAATTATCTTTATACCTTAAGACGACGGCACATAGGTAATGTGCTCATAGAGAAAATACAACTAGGTATACCCTAGGTAAGAAAATATGACTACTATATGTTTTCTTAATATAACCTAACCAGGGAACTTAAAACAGTTTGGGGGTATAGAGTAAGTCATTTAGAGTCGAGGGATATCTTTTTGAAAGCGGTAGTACAAAATTTGCATAATAATGGACAGACAATCCGAACGAGTGAAGGTAAGTATCAAGTAAGTATCATCAGGTAAGTATGTGATTTACGATCAAAAATTTAATATAATTAACATAATATAAATGAGAATAATGAAATAATGAGACATTACTTTGACGTCGGCGTGGATAATCATGTTATCAGATTATTTTGATAATAAGAAATACAGGGCCACTCGTTGCAATTTATATAATTATTGTACTATGACAAATAATATATGTAAATATTCAGCACATAGTGGTCTATCAAAAAAAATTATGCGCATAAATTTTAGGTAAAAAACGAAATAGAAATAGCCTTACGTTCAAAAAAGAAAAAACGCGCTAAAACGATGAAAATATACTGAATAATTTATGATTAATACGTGATTTTCTGGAATTGTTTTTGAACATAAGCTAAGTTTTGTACATCAAACGATTCACCGTGTTATTATCTATCAGAAAAATATAAATTCGTAGAGTTTGGTTGAGGAATATAGGTTTTCTACTACATATGGTCCGCAAAATTATGAAATAACATATTTGCAGCTATACGTAAGCAGCATGGACGTTTTTCAAATATTCACGTAAACCTAATTTCTTTAATATTGCACTTATCGACTTGATTTTTTTTTTAAAATGATCAGAATGGTATCCTTAGTCATATTTTCCAGTTGGAAAATTTCCATCAACCGTAAAACCGGATCAGTGGGGTGAAATCTAAGATATTTGGGATCGTCAAAGCATATCATTTTTCGAAGCAATTTAAATAAAAATAATAATTATTGTACTATGACAAATAATATATGTAAATATTCAGCACATAGTGGTCTATCAAAAAAAATTATGCGCATAAATTTTAGGTAAAAAACAAAATAGAAATAGCCTTACGTTCAAAAAAGAAAAAACCCGCTAAAACGCTGAAAATATACTGAATAATTTATGATTAATACGTGATTTTATGGAATTTTTTTTGAACCTAAGCTAAGTTTTGTAAATCAAACGATTTAGCGTGTAATTATCTATCAGAAAAATATAAATTCATAGAGTTTGGTTGTGTTTTATAGGTTTTTTACTACATATGGTCCGCAAAATTATGAAATAACGTATTTGCGGCTATACGTAAGCAGCCTGGACGTTTTTCAAATATCCACGAAATCCTAATTTCTTTAATATTGCACTTATCATCCTGATTTTTTTTTTAAATCGATTAAATGTGTATTCTTAGTCATATTTTGCAGTTGGAAAATGTCCATCAACCGTAAAACCGGATCAGTGGGGTGAAATCTAAGATATTTGGGATCGTGATTTTCTGGAATTTTTTTTGAACCTAAGCTAAGTTTTGTATATTTTATATAAAAAATATAATTCATTTTACCATAGAAACACAGAAAATATAATATTTATTTACTTTAAATAGTTACATAAATTACATTTATTAATTTTACATTTATTTCATTTGCATATAGGACATAGGTAAGTTTTTATTTAAAACTAATTTATTTAATAACTCTTATTTTCAGATATACAAAATGACAGTTCAACAAGCTAAAATGTTGTACACATTTTTCAATTTTATTCTTTATGTTTACGAATACAGCAATCGTTATTATTAACATTTTTTTTATTAGTGTAATATAAATGTTTATAATATCAGGGAAATTTCCGACGTACTTAATAACCTAACCTTAAGAACTAATAATTAGTGTTGTAAATAAAAATAATTTCATATTAACCTAGAACGCACGCTATATAATTCATATTTCTTAAAAAAAGTTCTCACGGCGCGAATGTGATGTGGTCGTTGGCGTTACTGTTTAAGGCGGTTATGACCAAGGTTCAATTACCATTAACTAGGACCCAATACCCTAACCTTACATAATTTTATACACTTTTCATCATGACAAAATATTTTGTCATGCTTTTCAATTTTCATTTCATGGCTCGCGCTTGCTACGACATGTACAATTCCGGACTTTGTAAGTAACATAATATATAAATATAATTATCTGTATACACTATAAATGTATAATATATTATTACAATTACATAAATGTCCATATACTATACTCTATTGTAAAATATATTAAATTATAATTGTATTTCATTTTATAACTTCCTATATTTTTTTTAAATAACAGTTCAATAAAATTGGCTTTAATCAATTTGGTATTATATATTAATAAAATTAAATTTAAAAAAAGTAATGCTAGGAGCAATATGAGAAGTTTTAAAAAAATAGCTAATAGATTAATTTATCATTATTTCTAAATAATTGGTTTAACACATGAAGGATAGGCGTTTGACCAAATACATGCAGTGCATCACACCAGTGGCGTCCCTAGACCCTTTTATAAGGGGGGGGGGGCGAATATTATACTTAATAATTACTAGGTAGTTTACCTGGTTTCACTCAGGGTGAATGTGGTAAGCGTTTCGTACCGCGCCACAGTTGACACCATGATAACAATTCACCGTGTAGGTATACGATATCATTACCACGAATTTATAAACTATAAATATATAAACTATTTCCAAGGAAAATCAAATTCTATAAGACTGTAATAAAACTAATTTCTGCCACCGCATTTAAAAATATGAATATGTAGCCAATACGGCAATATCCACCCCCTTTGTCAAATTCGTAGACATTTTTTATTTCCTAAAACGTACTTAAAAAATTAAAATTCACAATAGCTGTTACCTTAACCACTGTAAGTGAACATTAGCAGTATTTCGTGACACTTTCAGATCGATTCGACCGTTTGTCAGGCTTGGAACACCAAAAAACTAATTTCTGCCACCGCATTTAAAAATATGAACACCAATACCCCCCCCCCTCTTTGTCAAATTCGTAGTCCTAGATAATTTGCTAGTTTTAAAAAGTTTATTAACTCAAATATTAAGGGGGTATAAGAAAAACGATTCTGAGTGGAGACGGTATGTCAGTATAGGTTTAAGACATATTATATACATATCGATATCTATATGGTTTACTAGTTAGTAAAATATATATATTATAATAATATAGTTATTGTAGTTATTAGAGTTGTGTTGTAATATTGTAGACTGTAGTATAGATCATCATATTATTGCTTCGACACATGTAAGTATGTATAAATATTATATTTTATTACTACTTCATAGTTCATTTATTATTAGTGAACGGATTTTATTGTAAATACATATTTTTATTGAAATGAGGTACCTATTTTAAATCTAATAAAAAATGTTTATTTGTTCGATTGTTCTAAATGAAATACACTCAAATTTATTTTACATATTTTAGTAATTTTTAATTTTTTTCATTAATTTTTTACAGTGACTAAAATATATTCTATGAACTATGTCCCTATCACATTTGTTGTTGTGGAAGGTTGTTTTAGTCAATAAAAGAGTCTCTATCCAAACTGTCGCAATTTTTTGTTTGAAAACTCAATAATATGTTGTTCTCATTGCTTTGTCCTGGGATACTTATAGTTTTTTATACCCACATCATTTTTATTACTTCTATTTAATATTTATATTTATAAAATAATATTATTTCATGCTGATGGCCATCTTATACATTTATTTTTGAATGATGAAGATGTCACAATCATCATAAAGAAACATTAAATAAATAAATGTTATGTTGTGAATTTCTATACGAATTATATTATAATATATATAATTAATATATTAATATATTATATTATATAATATATTTATGACCATTAATCTAAGTTTATTTAGTTGTTAAAATATACACTTGTAATTTATCCAAAGAAATACATTTGCTTTTTTTTTTAATTTTTTAAATATACAAATTTGTTAACTTGTTTTTTGCATGTACTAATAGAAAATGTCACAAATGCTTATTAAACAGGCTATTTTCTTATGATAAAGTGGTGTATAAAAATGCTGATATGGTATAAAAAAAAACAGAAATAAAATTTCAAAAAATCAAGCTATCACTTTGTGCCCTCTTACGGAGTCGAACCCAGGACCAAATATATTTCTTCAACCAATTAAATATAAATACTATAATATATTAAATATAAATTAGGTATCAATATGTATAAATATATTAATTCATAACTCTCCTCAGCCGTACACACTGCCACTCTGGCCCAGATAGGAGAATATCGAGGTTAAGCTGATAAGACTGCGGTGGCTCATTGTTACGAGACTGTCACCCCAGTCTCGTGGGTCGCGGTTTCAAATCCCGTACCGTGCGTAATTTTTTCACTTAATTCTCGATATCTCTCCTATGACCGGCCACATCACGTGTGGTCGCGTCACATAAATAGCTACTTTTTCAGCAATACTTTTACTAGAATCAGTTGACGACAAAAAAAAAGTAACCAGATTTGATCTTTTGGGTTGTATTATATATAAATATCACGTAGAATATGATCAAAAAAAAATCACAATACAAATTAACATAGTCATTGTGTTTATTATATATTTAAATAATAAAAAAATAAAAAAATAAATAATAAATCGGTTCTTTTTTAAAATGATGGTTTATATAATTCTGATGGTCCATCAAAGCTGTAATATGTGGAATCAACGGGTGGCAAATCAAGTTCAACTTTGTCTGTACCAGTCTGTATTTCACAACCATTGCTGCTTACAATGCATCTTGTCGGCGACTCGATGCAGACCTTTTAAATGTAATATATGGTTTAAATAAAAATGAATGCAAATTAAAAGCAATGTAAAATAAAATTTGAACATGGAAATTAAAATATACACAACATGCATTTACAAGAAACAAAATTAAAAAAAAACTAACAATAGTTTGCAGTACTTATATCCCCATTTTCATAATTCATAGTGCCACATTGTTTGAAATATAAATAAAATGTAAAAAAGTTTGGCCACTAAAAACTGTATGAGAAAATGAAAATCTAAGAGAAATTATTCAAATTAAAAAAAAACAATAATGGGAAATGCAGTGCAATCGAATCAATTTTTTTTCAAATTTAGAAACATTTTTAACATCATTTTTTTTTTTTAAATTTATAATTTTTACTCACCTGAGTTTGAATCATATATGGCTGAAGAGGAACAAATGATTTTCCCGCCTTAATATCCTTCATTTTTTTAATTGCTAGGAGTATTCTTTTTTGATGCCCAAGTTTGACAATGCCAAAATCTTCTAAGTCTTCCCATGTCTTATAGAATTTGATTTTCCTTGGAAATAGTTTATATATTTATAGTTTATAAATTCGTGGTAATGATATCGTATACCTACACGGTGAATTGTTATCATGGTGTCAACTGTGGCGCGGTACGAAACGCTTACCACATTCATATAATCTGTCTTACCGGGGTTATCTAATTTTTGATAATGTGATTATGTATAGGTACAACAATTTTACACACGTTCACAAAAATTTTCAGAATCAAATGACGAGATCAATACATTTAATCGTGATCTGTATGTAAAAAATTACATTTAATGATACTTTTACCTATCACTAATTCTAAATATTTGTAGAAACGTGTAAGAAAACCTGTAGATCGATTTGGTTATGCAGCAGCTTTATATGAACCTAAAATGCTGGATTCTACTCCTGAAAGAGTAATCAAATTTAATATTTAAATTATATTATTAATTGCTTTTAATTTTTAAAAAAAAATTTAGTTTTAATTTTTAACATTGGCATGCGCACGGATGTGGCTTATAGAGCTATAGGCAGGCTATACTGCTATAGCTACACCTGAGACTTTTTAGGTAGGTACTTACGTAAAAAAATACAATAACTCACCTTTTTGTAATGATGGGTAAAAAATTAATTGAAGGGGTACAAAGATTAATATTTTTAAATAAGTGTATTAATTTAATTCACATAATGTTTAAACTAATATTCTTCTATGTATCAATTTTATTTCTACTTACCTATGTTATGAATGTCAATTTTATTTATTTTTTTTTTTTTTGGTGGGTTGTGGGGGTTATCTATGTAGTTGATGAGTTGTGGAATGAGAGGCACGAAAGCCAAATTGTGTGTTCGGAAGTATGTTACTTGAAGAAATGTATCGGAGAATTCTTTTAAGAATAAGCCTTTCAAACATTTTTGCAAAAAAGATTAATAAAATATTATTAATTAATTTTATTAATTAATAAAATTAATTTATTAACTTTTTGAAGTTTAATTAATCTTTTTTTTTATTCCTTTGATTGATAAATATATAATTATTATATTTATATAATAAATGATTATATATTTAACCACTGATCTTAGTCCGTGGTCATTTTCAAAGTTTTATTGAGTTATATCGGCATGACGGTCGACGACAAACGATAAGAAGTGAATCAGTGTGAAATTGATAAAAATGACTTAAAAATTAATAAAATTCCAAATAGATGCAAAAAAAATGTAAAATGTAAAATCGATTATTTAGATTCACGTGTTTATGAAAAACGTTTTTGGCCAGGACAGCATCGTCTAATTAGTTCCAAAACAAGATATATAAAATGTCATCGACTCCGAGTCCTATGTATAAGTAAAAAAAAGTAAAAAGACTTACATTACAAACTTAATATATTACAAAAAAAAAATTATATATATATGTATATATATATATATATTATAATTAACGCGTTAATCGCCACGTGACCGTG